CACGCATCAAGTTTGAGTTAATTGATGTGACGTACGTTGACAATGTTGACGTATTTAAAACGATCGTTTAAGACACGCGTCTCTCGAGCGTATCGTCTTTCAAAGAAAATCCGCTTAATCAAATCGGGAGCTCTTCTCCCGATAGCAATCGAAATAATCGATACAGGATAGTCAGACGGAAACGATATCGCGGAATAAATATCGCCGAGAACACTATTAATAATAATTATCATAACGGGTTGTACACGCGGTTTACACGTGGCGAAGGTCAAAGACATTAACGGTTTCGATAAATATTTGGACGCTTTTTATGATCGCGAATGTGTCTTCGATCGAAAAACAAATCTACTTTACGGCGAGTAGAGTGCGCGCGCGTTCCCACACACACATGCCCTTTCTTCTTCTGAGCGCGGATGAAAATTTATTCAGTGACGCGGAGTATTTCGAGACCGGACGTTCGAGATTATCGAACAAAGTATGTAACGGCACCTTTTTACAAAAGAGGATGGGTCCTCGCCAAAGAAAATGCGTATTAGCATCCTTCAGGTATTGTTTGATTAAATTCAGCGCGCGTTCGCGCACGCAGTGAAAAGGGCAATAACGACGTGGTGTGTTTTTTCAACAACAAGTAAACAAAATGATTAAAAACACAGCTTCGACGTGATTTCAAGTAATGTAACGAGTGACATTGAAGAGTGTCGAGGGGACACTGGCGTGTTATAAAATTTACAATTTATCGAGAAATTCAATTTTTGCGTGGACGTTTCGACCACACGGTTTGTGATTTTTTTTCAACGCTCGATCGTCCAGCGATTTAATTGATTAAATAAATAATTAAATAGATTTGAATTGTTCTGATATTTATTCAAAAAAATCGGCGTCCATTATACGCGCAGTTTCTTTTTTCTCGATACGCGCGGGCGTTGCCGAAATTTATCGATTCATTAAAATGCTAAAAAAAACGGAGGAGGATATTTTCTCGTTGATCGATGCGAGGAATATCCTAACGATACGCGTTCAATCATCGCGCCACATGATGTTGGCCGCTTACTTTGTTGTAAACGCGCGACGGTGTGTGTTTAATCGCATTTTTGATGGAGATTTTGCTAACTGCCGTTGCCGCGCGAACTAATGTTACACGGAAGGCGATCGCCTTTAACGGTTATACACGCTTCGTTTTAATTAACATCCGCGCGTGTGCATGCACATGCGCGCCGACTCATCGAGTAAACAAATGCGCGGTGTTTAAGAAGATGCAGCTGGTTTTTTGGAAATTCCCACAAGAAGCGTAACGTTACTTCGGAATTCCTTCGACGCAAAATCGTCGCGCGCGCGCGCGTCCAGACGCAATGTCATTGTATCGCGACGTAATAAAATAATCTCACGAAGAAACAAGGATATTTTTAAACAACCGAAAACGCGACGGATCAATCGTACCAAAAGTTTATTTGGAATTTCTTTAAATAAAACCTTCTTTTCACGCGCTCGTAAAAAGTTCAGTAATTTCGAAAAATGTTTTTAAGACCGCCAGGTGTTTTAAAGTAAATTGTATTTAATCTGACATTCGCGTGATCAAATTTACCGCTGAGCGAGATTATTTGGGTTTTTATTTTTCTTAAATTTTATTTTTACAAAACAAATATCTAAACAAATGAACATCTCAGAGGAAAGACCGCGCATGTGCATAACTGCTAAATTATGTTCCTTGACATACAAACGCACGAATGCGCAGAGAGATTCGCGTATGTAATCGCACACACGCACGCGCGAAGAGCAATAAGGAAATTCACCTCGTGTGATCCTCGAATCTGGTTTGGTCGTGGGCTATTTTACGATCGGGACATAAGTTAACCGTTGAGTTCGGCCACGCGCGCAACGTACAGGTTGTTTCACACAATTACATTTTTTCGAGCAATCGTCACCGTACAAGCAAACATGTTTGTTTGCTAGAAACGTTGATGTATGAGTTAATAAAGACGCGACCGAAACAAAAAAAAAAAACGGAATATTTTATTTCTCAAATAAGACTCTAACGGAACCTTGATTTATTATCCGGCTGTGTGTGAGCGCGATTGGATCGCACAAAATCTGATTGTTATAACAAAAAATACAACAATCTAAATGTATTTGTAGAGTGTTGCAGAATTTTTCGCGCACAAACAATAAAGATAACGAGCTAGCTATAGACGCCGCCGTAATCTGGAACGGTCAATAAATGTTTCTCAGTCAATTAATATCCCGCGTGAAAGGGCGTTTCGCTTCGAGACATTCGTCGGATGTAAATAAATTGTTACGTAAAAAAATTACGAAAACCAGCCGGTAGAACCTTGGCCCAGAGGAGTCAGTCACCGTGAAGGAATTCTCCCACCTCTTTTTAATTGTGACTCGCGCGGATCTTCGATCTTGAACTTGATCTCGCGAAGGTTGCTCGCGTATAACAGAACCTTGGTTCTGAAATCGATAAACACTACGGGATTACGTGAGCCGGNTTTTTTTTTTTTTTTTTTTTTNTTTTTTTNTTTNCGACAGGGTCTTTACTTTAATATTCGCGGATTTCCTGAAAAGTCACGAGCACCGAATACCAGACTGGCGACGCCAGTCTGTCCCGATGTGGGAATAGGTACGTAATAATCTAGATAAGCGCGAATAATATATGGATGTTTGCGAAAATTTAAGGAACTGTGCGTCAGCCTTCGAAGATAACATCCGAAGATTTACTGCTAAACATTCGAAGACTGAATTAAACACATTGCTTCGTGGTAAAATACGTTTACGCTTAACTTCTCTTAATTAGTCAAATTAGATGTGCCGTAATTTACAGTTGTTGTCCTCATGTTAAAAGCAAGCGAATTATTAATCACGTTGCAAAACACATTTGATCAATATTGACAAAAGTCGTAGAACAGAACCTGGATGTTGGTGTGTTGGTGAATAATCTAATCGTAGATTCTAATTAACGTATGTTTGTAATCACATATCGATCATGTTTTTTGGTTCTTTTCTGGAATTTATTTTAACATATTTTGTTCCGATATTTAATAACAATAATATATTAAATTACACATGTGTATTACTATTAACATAAATTGTATTATAATAAAAAATACATGTTGTAAAATAAATATATTTTTTATATATTTTTAAAATACTTATACACACACAATATATTATATAGTCGTAATTAACAAAAATATAATTAAAAATACATAATTACATTTTTTGTAGCAATTATCGTCTTAAATATTCAATGAGTTCGACAATTAAGTTCAATATAATTTGCGCTAAAAATATTCGCGCGTTCACACAACAAAGACAAGAGGCGATTTTGAAACCCGCGAAGATATATATATTTTACATTTAATTAAGATCTCTTCTCGAGCGGAGAGCGTGAGGAAGTGCTCAAGATAGATAAAGAAAAAACATAATTATCAGTGAGTCATCAGAATATGCGGAATGATGGATGAACACGTGAAGAAGATGAAGAACCGTCGAGCCGTTCTTTGAAGGCTTCTTGTTTACATGAACAAGGAAGTTCTCGCGGGAAGAGGAGATCCGGGTTTGATGATAAAACGTTACGATGACTGCGTCGTCCTTTTCATTTTTTTTTTCGTACCATGTGCACGGCGCTCGAGACCACCTTTAAGGAGCCGGTGCGGTTCCGTTACGTTTACAGCCAAAATTCCGTCGCAGTGACGCGACGACCGATAAATGCAATCCTCTTCTTCCTCTTCTTCTTCTACTGTGACCTTGCGCGCGCGAGAGAGAGATAAATATTAATTTAATATACAGGACTAAGCGCGGCAATTAGCAATGGAGACACGATGACATACCGCACGATCGTATACGATCCGATAATCCGTCGCGAGAACGTGTCGGGGAATGCAATCAGCCGCGTGAGAAGCGTATAAAAAGAATTGTCATAAATCCGTATGATACATATGTTACATGAATAATGCATTTGTAAAATAACTAATGCGATGCGTTTCGAGACCAACGCGCGTTTATTTGCGATTTTATCTTCTTTTCGCTCGCTCGTTCGAATCTCGGACGAAATTGACGCCATCTCTCTTCCTCCGCGGTAAGATTTTTGTATCTTCCGTGCGTATAGCTCCTGGTATCTTCACACCTGCCACAGAAAGAAGAAGCTCCCGCCATCTCTCGCACCTTTCCGGCACGTATTGTCACTAGCTACTTCGAATCGGTAGACAGAAATTTAAAAAAAAAAAAAAAATTACAGAAATGTTGACTTTGTTCCATTTTCGCGTAATTGTAAAAATTTTAATTTTTTACGTCGCGAACAATAGCGGAGCGGTAAAAAATTAACGGAAACATTTTAATTTGTCCTTGCTCGTGTGTCGTCAGGTGCATCAAGGTTTTTCTTCGCGTCAAGGAAAAGATAAAAAAAAAAAAAAACCGGTTAGATATAAGATCGTCAATAACAAACGCGTCAAACATTTTGTGTTCGCGCTCTTGTCCAATAATCGGGGAATGTCGCCGCGACATTTCGTAATGCTGCAATTAGTGCAAATCGTTTGACAATTATATCGTTGTGCGTTTTGTTATTGCACATTCCTGTAAAAAAAAGTATAAATATATTTATATGATAATTGTGAGGAATGTTCCGTAATTTAAACGACAAAACGTCATTGCGAAGTCTTGTCGAAACGTGTGTTTCAAATGTCAACGATCGACTCAAACGAATATCTACGAGATGACTCGATTTTATTGACATTTTTTTCGGCAATTTTGACATTAGTTTATCTTTTTTGAGATTTTCATTGATTTTTTCTTTTTTCTATTAACGAGAATCTAATAAGTTGAAACGATCGCTTTTGAAAGGCACAAATCAGCGTCTGGCTCTCTATTTGTGATCTTTTTTTTTTTTAATTTAATTGCATAGAGCTTTTTATTATTGATTAAGTTTGTGGAAATTAATTGTTTAATTTAATTGTATAGAGCTTTGAACTATTTATTAAATTTGTCACAAAAAAAAAACAGGCACAGATTAAAGAATTGCAGTCGCTTTGATTGGCTACCTGACAGCGAACCCAAAAGCCTCGTTAGTCAGGGTGTGTGTGTGCGTGCCATGAAAGGCATTAATTTGCCGAACAAATTGACCATAATACGAACCCACTAATCTCAGTCACTTGGAGGGGAAAGAGGAAACGCGTGCGTTAACACGTGAACGTCGTGTGGACGTCGCGATCAGGCAAAGTAGCAAAGAGGCAGAAACGGTTGTGTAAGTGTGCAAAACAGTCGTTAAGTCGCGATCGGCGTTCACAGGTAGAGATCGAGCCCAAGTATAATCGGACGCGACGATTGTGTTTTCGCGTCAAATTCGCGGTACGTTCGAGGAAATACGATTCGTTGTTTGTTTTAATTACGAGTGAGAGAAGGCACTGATGTGTCTTTGACGTGTGTCTTCTTGAGTGTGTTTTTAATCAATCACCTGAGAAACTAATGAAGAAAAAGTGCTCGGTATATCCGCGAAACTGATCGAACGTCTGTTTTTACGTCTTTAGTTTTGTTTTTGTTTAATTTATTTCTGAGATGTTCGGTGCCGCGCGGATATTCGGCGAAAATTGGCGCGGTGTATTCGCGAGGAATGTGCAAAGTTTGTTCGACGTAATTTCTCGCGATCAATTAGCAATAGACGCGCATCGCGCTTACGTGAGCGATCGTTATCGAACGCGTGGTCAGTTGCAACACCAGGATTTGCGTCGGATTTGCAGATTTCTTTAAAACCGAGGCGAAACACGCTTGTTCAAGTTTTTGAAGAATTACACGGCACGAACGATGGTTGAGATCGATTTAAAAAGAGCGATCAAAAATCGAGTTCCCATTTTGAAGTGGTTGCCGCGATACAAACCGGAAGACGCGCTGGGCGACCTTGTTGCAGGCCTCACCGTGGGAATGACCCTGATACCTCAAGTACTTTTTAAATTAGGCCACGCGTGGTATTTAAACAAAATTAAAAATCGCACTGAAAATCTCGTTGGTGACAACAATTTTACTTAATCGATATCGAGATTTTGAATTTGCAATATTTATCACAAATATTTATTAAAATTGTCAATCAAATTTGAGCAAAAACAAACTTTAGTGAAAAAAAAAAAATCTTGACGCGGTAATTTATTTCAAACGCCTCTGGCGATATCCAATAATGTAGTAGCGTATTAAAGATGTAATATTTACTAAATATTATTAAAAAGTAAAAACTATATTAATATTATTGTATTGTGTATATAGTTAATTATCATATGTTAATTATTAATATTGTTTTATTTAAAAATATAACATCTGTAGGCAATAGCTTACGCAGGCTTGGCGGGCCTGAGTCCGCAGTACGGACTTTACAGTTCGTTTGCGGGAAGTTTCGTTTACGCCATTTTCGGAACCTGTCGAGAAGTCAACATCGGCCCGACCGCGCTCATATCTCTGCTAACGTGGACGTACGCGAGGTAACGGAACATCAATACTTTTTGCTGCTTAAAAAAAATTTAAACAATAGCAGTAGTGACTCTAATAACGTTGTTGCTCAAAGTTATATAAGTAATTGCGACAAAACGTTTAACGGCGCGCTAATTGCAAGCGAGAATTAAATTCGAACTATGACATAACGTCGTTGAATTATTTGTCGAAGCTACGTTACGCAAACGGCATTTCTCGTGTTAAAAAAAAAAGTGCGAGCGCGACACGGTGAATGAGCACGCGCAATAAAAGCCACACATATACGTCCCTACTTTGACAATTCTTTCAGAGGCATTCCCGAGTACGCGGCCTTGCTTTGCTTTCTGTCGGGATGCATCACGATACTCCTCGGCATCTTGCGTTTGGGATTTCTAGTCGAGTTCGTGTCGCAGCCGGTGGTGTCCGGGTTCACGTCGGCCGCGAGTGTCATCATCGCCTGTAGCCAGATCAAGAATCTGCTGGGTTTGAACATTCACGGCGAGAGCTTCGTCGAAATCTGGCGCGAACTGGCGACTCACGTGGCCGACACCAAGATACCGGATTTGATTCTGTCCGGCTGTTGCATTCCGATTCTGCTGTTTCTGAAGGTGCATTTCCCTTCTTTCCCTCCAAACTGTTCGGGTCATTTCGAGACACATTTAATGGCTGCTAATTAAACTAGAAATTATATTTTTTATTTTTAAATATTTTTTAATTTCTTTACTTTACTTTCTATTTAATTACAAAAATTTTGCAGTTGCGACGCGCGATTATGCGATTTACTTTTCCAGCACTTGAAGGACCGAAAAAGCGCGGGGAAAAATCAAGTCGGCGCTAAAAAGTTATCGCTGAGTAGACTTTTCTGGGTGATCGGTACAGCCAGGAACGCTCTCGTGGTCGTTCTTTGCGCGGTCGCATCTTACATCTTCGAGACGCACGGCGGAGCGCCGTTCGTTCTCACGGGTCACATCGATGCCGGTTTGCCGAGCGTCGAGCCGCCCCCGATCTCGAGAGCAGTTGGCAATCAAACCGAAAATTTCATCGACATGATGGAGAACTTCAAGTTCGGCGTCCTGATCATACCGCTCATCTCCATTATCGGGAACGTCGCCATCGCGAAGGCCTTTTGTACGACACTTTCGAGATATGTTTGAACAGAGGAGAGTCGTCGTCGGCGACACAGACGACTTTCAAAGAGACATTCCTTTTTCTATTTTTTGGAACGGAGAATAGTTTGTGTTTCCAAATTTTTATTTTCAACTTCGTTAAAAAAATATTATTCAAAAATAAAGTCGCATGTCGTCATCGGTGATTTTTCTCTACACTTAAAACTCCGATAGAGAAAAGAATATTGAAGAAGCAATGCGTATTATTCATTGTTTTATTTTCTCTCTCTCTCTCTTTTTTCAAGCACAAGGATTGGCTCTAGACGCCACACAGGAAATGCTAACTCTCGGACTGTGCAATGTAATCGGCTCGTTCTTCCACTCGATGCCTGTCACAGGATCATTCTCGAGAAGCGCGGTAAACAACGCTTCGGGTGTTAGAACTCCTTTGGGCGGCATATACACGGGTAAATTCTACTGCTAACGTTCGTGGCAATCGTCTCTGATGATAAGATCTGTTACTTCCCTGTTTAACGATCCGTTTGTCTTAATCGTTTTTTTTTTTTTTTTTACACGAACTGGAGACGTTTTTAAAATTGTCGACGAGTCGTTTGAAACGAGAGAATCAACACATCCGACGTTCTCATAAAAAAGAAAATTACGGCTAAACTAAAATACACAAAATATTTCAGGTACTCTTGTCATTCTTGCGCTAAGCTTGTTGACTCCGTACTTTTATTACATCCCGAAAGCGACGTTAAGCTCCGTCATAATCAGCGCGGTGATATTTATGGTGGAAATTGATAAAGTACTTCCGATTTGGAGATGTAATAGTAAGTATATTCAAAAATTTTATCAACTATGTATATATATGTGTAAATTTTATATATATATATATATATATATATATATAAATTATATATATAATTTGTACACTATTATAAATTGATATTGTAAATATATATACAAATTATATAGATTTTATACGAATATAAAGTTATCGAAATATCTTTACGTCAACTGGAAGCTAAATATGCGATAAAGAGATCCGCTTGTCTTTTTTTTTTTTATAGAACGTGATCTAATACCGGCGTTTGTCACGTTTCTCGCTTGCCTGTTGGCCGGAGTCGAACTAGGAATACTGATAGGCACGGTAATCGATCTCGTCATTTTGATATATCTCAACGCACGACCGAAAATACACGTCGAACACAGAAATGTAAGAGACAAACACATTCTTTGGGATTTTGAGCAATTCTCGCTCCGAAAAAGTGGACGAAACAAAGAACGAGGCTCGAGATCAGCCCTTCGCTGGCTGGGTCACTCGAAATCTAACGATGGGTATTTTGTGTTAAGTTATAACTTGTATTTATATAATTTAAAACAAATTTTAATATACATATATTATTTGTGTATACGCGAAGCGACTGATTATTCATTAGAATACACAAATCAGAAGTGACTCAGCCATGGTCCGGTTGAAGAGTACATTTAAGAATTATGAAGAGAGAAAAGAAAAGATAGTTAAAGAATGTTTTTACAGAGTCCGATGAACTACGTGTTGGTTCGTCCAACCGCCGGACTTGCATTCCCGGCAGTGGATTATCTGAGAACTTATATCACAAAAACGTTATCGGACCATCAAAGCTCCTTAGAAACACCTCTGACGTACGTTGTGCTCGATTGCGGGCACATTTCCGAAATAGACTTCACCGGTGCTCAGGTATCGCGCGCAAGAATTCGTTCAAAACAAAATTGACTTGTTAATAATTAAATTAATAATTAATGTAATTTGTTAAATTGCAATTAGTTCTTGTTATTTTTAGGGCATTAATATGGTGATAAGAGACTTTGAAAGAAACAGCAACCGATTGATAATGTTGCGACCGAATCCCGACGTCCTAAAGAGCGTACAATCGTTTTCGGACGAGACGATCTTGTCGGCAAGCGACGACGTCGATCTGATCACAGTTTTGTCCGAGTTGACAAAAGACACGGCACGAGATGCAAACGGCGAGATTAAAACGTCGAATATCATAACCACAAGACTGTGATAATCAGAAACGCGCTTATGTAACTACAAGTATGTGTATAAAAAAAAAAAAAAAAAAAGCATTGGCTGTATTTTACGTACGTAGACAAATAGAAGAATGTTAAGAAATGCAACAACATGCTGTAAATATACTCAAAACACGTAATATATATTTATTTTATAAAAATATCAGTCCAAAAAATAAACTATATTATCTCTTATAACAATACAGTTTTTCAAGAAAGGGGGGAATCGCGAGAAACGTAATTAAGATATATAACACAGAATACTAGATAATATAGGAAAAAAACTAAAATACAAATTATAAGAAGAAATTGTGACGTTCTCTTGACAGCGTGAAAAAAGAAAAACCATACATCCTAAAAATTATACAAGAATTGACAAATCAAAGTATTTTCGCTCGCTAAATAATTTGTTGTTGAACTACATTTTTTTTTGTCGCAGAAACGCGTCTGTGATAACTCTTTCTCCATCAAATATAATTATATTGTTATATAATTACAACATCATTTCCGCGTGCGTGTATGTACATCTCAGTAAACTGAAAAAACTCTCGTCTTTTTTTTCGTAGATAATTGCAATCTCAAATAAAACACTCGGTGATACGCTAAATACAATATTTCTTTTTTTTTGCAAACAATTTAAACAACTTAAAACACATTTTTTGTTTTTTTTTTTTAAATTTTCTGAATTTTCTTTTACTCTTATTCCTTTCTCACAATGAATGTTAACACGGTTTTAGTATTCTAAATACAACATTATTCGCCTCTTCTCGCGTGTGTAAAAAACAAAAACTCAGTTTAAGATTTTTATTATCGTGTACGGTTGTCCCTTGTATATTTGTGTGTGTGTGTGTGTGAGAGAGAGAGAGCGATACGAGATTGTCCGAGTTATTTCACACGTGTAAACATTTTCACAAAACAACAACTCGGAACGTCTCGTGTCCCAAAAAAGATGATCTTACAGATAGACAATAAAAACTTGAAAATGTAATTGTAGAGAGGTAGATTATATTAAAATATAAAATTTGGTCAGACCACATATATACGTATGTGCATGTATACACATATAAATATGAATGTAGATATACGTACACACACAAATACATATACATATATATATATAATATATATATATCCAAAATTTATATCACAGCGTAACCTACGGTTTTTTTTGTTTTTTCTTTTAACATAAACCTCGCATTATTATTATTTTTTTTTTTTATACCTTATACTCTCTTGTTCCTACCGCGGCCAATACTGACGGATGATGTGTATTCTCTCGAAAAATTGTGGAGAGATGCGTTTCTGCGCAAACCGCCGCCGTTGTACTTTTGCAGCTGCGGCGTGTGACATCCCACGTTCCTGAACTGATCCTGGTTATACGTTCGTGGCGCGAACTCGCTTCTCGTCACGAACTCTTTCGGCGAAATAATCGGCGGGATGTCCTCGGAGTCCTTGTCGTCGCAGCCGAGATCCTGCATCTGCTTCCTCAAATTGGTCGTGTTCTGCCTGTGATATCTCTGATTCGTCGAACGATACGCGTTGCATTGGTGCGTCGCGCCTAATGTTGCGGACGTGCAATTCGTATCTTGCGATCTGGAATGCGACATCGGTGGCGGAGTGTCATAAACAAATCGACAATTGTCATGACACTGTTTATAATACTGATTGGACTTGTCGGCAGTGTTGTTTCTCATTTGCACAGCGCAATTGTTCACGTCGTCGTGCGCGTTTTTGGCGTAATTATTTGTACGCGAGTAAGGAACGTATTTGAATTGATCGTGCGCGGGTCCGATATTGTCGAAGTTACTCAACTGATTAACAGTCGCGGGTACCATGGCGTAATTCGCGCACGGGGAGGCGTAGAAAACGGGTATCGAATACTGCAACTGCGGATTCCACGGTTGCATACACGGAGTAGGCGTGTAAATCATCGAGTGCGGCATGCAATTCGTCGCCTGCGTGGTGTACATCCCGTTGAAGTCGGTGTTGTAAACATGCATCGAATGTTCGGGTGTTGAATTGTACGACTGTTCACTGGACGTTGAATTGTACGTATGTTGAGCAGGGACTGAGTTGTACGACTGATCGACTTGAACGTACAGATGCCTGTTGTGCACCGAAGGGCTCCATCTGCTGGCTTCGTCCATTTGAAGTCCGGAAAAATTCGAACTCGCCGTGACAGGTCGTTGCTGCAAGCTCGGTTCGTATCTGTACATCATGTTTGGATCTTGTTCCACATTCACGCCCATCATAGGCATCAGCATGGATTGCGCGTTGACGGCACCGTCGTCGCACAACGCCGCCTGCATGCCGTTGTATTCGTACTGCGTCGTGTCGAAAGCAGTATTGGGCAGTTGCGAATATCGCACGTTGTTGTTGGGAAACTGTTGAACCTTGTCGCAGCTTGAGTCCCACGGTGACGGTTGATACAACGATCTCATTTGATTTCTTTCTTGCTGCAAACTGTACTGCATGTTCTGAACCGACTGTTGCACGTTCATCGCTATGGTCCTCTGAATTGTATTGTCGTACGTCTGGCCGTTCCACGTAGGTTTACCAACAAATTGGCTCGCATCCTTCACGTATTCCGCGTTTCCTACTTTTGATATAGGCTGTTCGTTCCGCACACCGCCTTGCGATTCTACAGCGAACTTATTGGGATGCGAGTTAACCGACTGTTTGAGCGAATTTGTTTCTTCACTTTTGATTTCCTTGTTTACTTGCGCTTTTCTAGGCGAATTTGTTTCCTTATTTTTCATCTCGTTATTTACATCTTGCTGAGTTTTATCGACCACTTCGGATTTATCAACCACTTTTTCACGCTGTTCTGATGCTGTTACTTGTTTTGTATTCTCGTTGTTAATACTGTCGTGTTCTTTCAAGTCTGTCTTGACTTTCGCAGGTTCCACATTAGACGCATCTACTCGATGTTCATTTGATGATTCTGAATTTTTTGATTCCAATTTGATCCGATTCGATTGATCGCACGCCTCATTTTGCTGTTTCTTGCAACTTTCTACATTGTTCGCGCTACGATCTTCGATTCTTGAATTTGATTTGTAAGATTCGTTGGTGTATTCTTTTTTTACAATAGCTCTGCGTTGAGCGTTTCCGCTGTTAAATCTGTCAACTCTCGGATTGTTAGGCGTGTACGGCAAACTGCTTCTTCTGTACGTGGCGGCAGTTTCATCGGTATTTCTCGGCATATCTTTACCTTGCGAAACTCTTAAATACGAGTTTTTGTACGAAACAAACGTGGTGCCTCTTCTCATGTTACCGCCACCAGTGGCTTTTCTGTTGTTTTGATACGTTTTCTCACCGACTGTTTTTCCCTCTTTCGTCTCAGATCCACTTGAAGGCAAATCGGCGATTTTTGATTGAGTCGCTTCTTCTTCTTTTTTAAACGGCGTTGTTGCCTCTTGTTTATTCTTATCAACAGCTTGCTTGACAGTGGGTGCATTTTTTCTGTGAGATTCTTGTCCTTTCAACTTGGACATAAATTGTTTTGAAACCACATGTTGCTGCTGTTTCGGCACTGCTTTATCCATATTTTTGCTTTGAGCATCGGCCGTTTTACTCGATTCTGTCTCACAGTTTTTCTTTTCTGTGCTTGATTTTGGAGTAGTGTTCTTTGTTTCGTATTTTAGAGATTCTTGTTTCTTCACGCAATCGTGACTCTTTACAGTTTTGAATCGATCAGGCGGCGATTTCGATGTGTTGAAAATTGTCTTTCTAAAACTGGTACTAGGAGTAGAAGACTTTTCGCCAATTTTAGATAACGATGTGTTACTTTTGTTTTTCATTTTTGACACACTACCCAATTGTTTTTGTACATCTAAAATTATTAAATAAATATATAATAAATCTCTGTTAAAGAAATAATTATATCGTAAATTTAGAATATGTCTGTAAATACTGTATAAAATTTCTTTTTAAAAAAGTTACCTTTGTTTTTTGCTTCCATTGATGGTTTTGTATCTTCTGCATCATCATTTATTTTGCAAGGTGCTTGCTGTTCATTATCTTTTCTTGGCAACACTGTTACAGATGTGGAGTTGTTATTGCCATCAGATTGTTTGATTGAAGTCACTTCTTGATCAGCTGTTTGAGGCCTATAAATAGTTGAACATACAACATCTCAAAGTTTTTAATATGACATGTCCATAATCTCTCTTATAATCCAATCTATTAAAGCAAAGTTAAAAGATTTCTCTTCTTTACTTACTCTGTAACAGTTTCATTGTTTTGCGACATATCCGCTGGATCTGTCTGATTCTTGTCTGCAGAAAATTCAGCTTCCACCTGTGCCGATACAAGACTTTCTACAATACTTAATATCTCGTCTTCCTTCTTCTTTTGATCGATTAGCTTGTTTGTATTTGAAATCAGAGTAATTATATCTATATCTTCTTTCTGTGTGTTCTCATTACTTTTTGGTACTAAATCATTGGATAAATTTTCATCAGATTCTTCAGCTTTGATATTGTCTTTTAATAAAACCGCATCCACTGTCTTAGTTGTATCAACATGTATTTTCTTAGAAATATTTTTTCTTTTCTCTCTAAAATAAAAAAACAAAAAAAAAACAAGAGATCTTGAATCCATTAATATGACACATAACAGCTTGTATAATACTTAGTAAAAGGAAACTAAAAAAAACTACTAATATACATTCTTATAAAATACATGTATAAATCTATTTGCAACTTAAAAATTATATTTTTTACTATCAAAGACTTCACTTGCAAAGTTAACTTTTTTATAAGATGTTTTATATTCTCTACAATACTTTATTGTAATTAATCTTTTTACATATTTATTATATCTTTTACAATCTTTCTTATTCTCTGTGCATATGCTTATTAACAATAATATGCATGTGATGCTATCAACAAAAGTTTTAAACAAAAAAGAATAGATTACCAAACAATTCACTAACATGTACAAACAAACAAACAAAAAATATTGTTTACCACAAAACATGCACTACACAACAGAAAGGAAGTAAGAATTGAACATACAAATCTGACGAATAGGATGTAGCTTTCAGCCATTGCATTTTTTCAATATTTTGCAGCTTGCTGTTCTTGAACATTGCCTCCTGCTCTACTTTAGAGGTCTTTTTTAAATATCTATCAGTATTATCCATCTTACCTATCACCAAATATTTAACACTCAATATTTATGCAATATAAAAATTACTTTTGGCATTTGTGTGTGTACTTGAGAATCACATTTATAACAAATTTATATATATATGTATATTACACAAGATACTACATCAGTATAAAAAATTGTTTACAAGACAGAAATTTCGAGATTTTCGAAAGATGTTTGCAAGTTCGTTTTTTGCTTTGCAAGAAATCTAACCCACACAGAGATTTGCTCGTGTATAACCAGTTTCTAACATTTGCGTGCAACGTGAGTATAGCAAACCAATTGTGTTGCTCTAACGGCAAACAATTCTGAAGTACCACGTAATTAAGAGAACAGAGCAGCAACCGGTGTACCGATGAGCTTGTGTGCGATATTCGTGCATTTCAAAGTATCGTTTGTTAATTACTTAACGTATAATAGCGGCTTACTTTGTTTTTTTTTTTTTTTTCGAACAACCTTGCGACAATCGCCGAGCGACTTGAACACAGTAGAACGCACACAGAATATCCGAAGAAAAAAACGTAGCTCAACGTGCTCGTGTTTCAACAGGTACAGATATCACAAGCGATGATAAAAGACACAGGAATGTGTGTATGTGTATGTGTGTGTGTGTTGTGTGACTGCAAGAAAAATTCAAACCTTCCTATTGCGCCTTGCACTCTAGCCGTCGAAGACGCCAATTGGCTGGTCGCATAGGGAAATTCTGCGAGTAGAACAGTTTAACAATTGAATTATCGTATGCTCTTATGTCGTTTCTTCAAATTGACAAATTGTTTAACAGTCCGTTTGTTTCCGTCTCTTTGTTTAGAGCGTTTTAACGCGCATGAACAATTGCGTTTCTTTGTAGACAAAAAGAAGACGAAGAAAAGATTTTCAGAGCGTTGGCCATGATGACGACACACACGTGGTTCAGCTGTTGTACGTTTTGGAGCGCTACCGTGCTCAGTGCCGCACAATGGAACACCGCAATCATTTGTCTACAAACATTTTCAGTCGGTACATTTGATTCTGTTTCCTGCTGTGTTCTTATATAAATATTATTGTTATATAATATGTACACGTATGGCACATTTTTTAACCACACCAGATTCAGTAATAAAACTTAATACTGCGTCTGACAGTCCGCAGTCTGTACAAAGTGGGACGGAAAAATGTGCACACTATACATATATATATATTACACATACATGTACTCTTAACAAATTATCTGTTAAATAAAGATACACAATTATGTAAAACCTGCGTTTATTTACTACCTTCTATAAAATCCTCTTTTTTCCTTGAGAAATTTCTCAAAAAAATATCAGGAGAACATAACCAGCAAAGAGATGGCACAGAGAATCTTTGTGCCACCTCTTCGCTGGTTATGTTCTCCTGATAACTTTTCCGAAAAATTGTCAGTATTTTTCGGAAATTCTTGAAAATTTGTATCAGGAGAACATAACTAGCAAAGAGGTAGCACAAAGTTCAAGTGGGCNGAGCAATTCCGAGAATTCTAAGAATTAATAATTGATTCCAAGAAAACCCCGCCCATTTGACACGCCTACCGAGTCTTCGTGCCACCTCTTTGCTGGTTATGTTCTCCTGATACTTTTTCAATATTTTCCCAGTATTTTCGGGAAGTTTTAAGGATTTTGTAGGTATGTAGAAAAAAAAGAACAACTAAAATTTTTTATAAGTTTCTTTATTCAGAAAAATATTGTAAAATACAATATATAATTTATATTAGTAGTGCGCACATTTTCCCGTCCCACTTTACACAGACTGCGGACTGTCAAACACCAGTAATATTTACTGGTATGAGGTGTGGTTAAAAAATGTAGCACACACATTAAATGCTTTACAGAAGGTAAGAGACAATTTTTATTCAAGTTTTGCGTTTTATTTCATTACATTGTATCATAATTTACAGTCGTATATTCCATCTTTGATAATCAGCTTATTTTCTTAGTTATTTTCTCTCGCCGTCGTCGGTGGTCGTTGGCAACCCTGCTCGTTGACAAGTGTTGGCAACTTCGGGTAAATGCCGGTCGATTTGGAGATAGGAGGAGGTACGTGTTTGTTGCTGCTTTTTAACCACAATGGCTTGATACGTGTCGTGCCAATTATGTATCTTCAACTCTGATTTTACTTCGGTTTCGTACTTGTGTGATGCACGTTTCTTTCGCATTCTGAAATCATCTGTTTCGATGCAATTGAACAACAGTCATGAGAGATCGCAAGCGAGTTTTGTTTAGGTTAAGTGAAACGTAACGAAATGTCAAACAAAAATATTGCCGAGACAAAATTATTATTAGACAAATGTTCGCTTGAAATAACAAGAGAGAGGATATTTAAAGGTAGATTCGAATCGACACAGTCGCGAATGTTGCAAGTGTGTGTCGAAACAATAATACGTAATTTTCAACAAAAATGTCTCGCAAAGTTTCAGACTAAGTTAAATTAACATTGAAAGCGTTCCTGTGATATCGACACTTGAATGAGATGTTAATTTAAAACTTTATTATTACACGCGCGCGCGTGTATGCGTGTCGAAGTCCGCGCGTCCTTCAAACACGTCCACTGTGAGAATAATTGTCTAGCAATCTCGCGTGTCTCTATGTGTGTCAATCAAAAGTATACAGTTCTTCGCAGACTGGCGAAATGATACACGTCGCGCGTAATTGCTAGCGTAAGCTCGCACGCGAGGATGTCCGTCGCGGACGGACGGACAATGCCGCGATTAGATTACGTGTATCGTATTCGAGATTTCGTGTCTCGCGTTAGAAAATTATATCTCGGGGAGAGGAAAGGAGAAAAAACGACGCATTATTTAAACGTGTGTATTGGTGTCGTATCGGGTCAAAGGTGTGCTTTTTTGTAAACAGATTGGCGAATCGTTTGGGAAATCGTGACCGGCGCGACGTGAGCCCGGCAATCCAAAATGGGACCGATACGGATAAATGTATCGCGAGGGAAGTTGCGAGACATGCGCACACCGCTGTTGTTTCGCGACTTGTAATCGCGCCATTCTTTGCGATCGGAGCGAGATAACATAACAGGTACGTATATTTAAAAAATATCGCGATGTTAAACGCGCGACGATTATATTGCACAAGAAGAAGAAGAAGAAGAAGGAACGCGCGTTGGTAAATTGCGAACACCGTGAAAACGCGTCGAAGGCTGAGCGATTTGTTACGCGGAGCGTTTTGCCCGAGTTTTTTTCGCCATCTGGAAAGTATATCGCATGCGGATTATCAGCACTTAATTCACTTATCCTTGGAGTTCGTTTTTTTCTTAACAAAACGAAACAATTGTATGTTTAAGTTCAGTCTCGTAGAAAGTTTTTTAGCTCGTGGCAATTTTTATTTCGACAATTTTGTACAAATGTATTTGTTATTCAATGTTTAATAAAAATAGAAGAACATCGGTCGAAAAAGAGTATTCGTTTGTTTTGCATACGTGTCACAATTAGACGCAATAGTCGTGAGATTGAAATTAATTGAATCGATGTTCAAATTCCAAACAAGATGTTTCATCAATCATTCGGCGATGCGCACAGAAGAGCATATCGTCGGTTGATGCATTTTTCGTGATTCTCGCAGAAGAAGTGCGAAGGTTAACGGCAACTTTTCCTCGGCCAATGTAAGTTCGGCTCGTTATCCGGATGGATATATAAGCGGCTCGACGGGACTGGCTTACTTTCAGTCTGCGACTCGCCGGAAATTTTTCTCAAGCGCGAACAAATCTCTGAACGAAGTAATTTCGACCGCAAATCTTTTTTGCGAGATAAGACGCACGTTTATTTATTTATTTTTTTTTTTTCATGAATTAGTGAGACTTCACAGAGAAAAGAAACATACACGCGTGCTCGGAGGAAACCCCGTTTCTCTCCCGGTGAAAGCATCTCGAAGCACCTCGTGAACTCTCCATTCTCGATCGGGTATTGTTGCGGTTGTTGTGGCTCAACGTTATTTTTCTCTTTTATCTATGGTATAAAGTTTGCTCCTGCTAAGAACGAAATTCTATACGGAGTTCGCAACGCGAGTCGCTTACGCATTTCGTTAATCGCATCCGCAGAAAAATAGACGCGCGCGGTCCAGATAACGCGCTGTTGATTCATTCGAATCAAATGTGCGCGCGCGTAAGAGATTAATTTCGCCGCAGCGATGCACCGATTACGATTGTAGCGTTGAGCTCTTTTTACATTATGTGTTTTTTTCCGTGTTTAAATCTGTTTTTATGAACGTAATGCCGATGATTGAATTCAGAATGGCGATCGGAAACGACCGTTGGAAGAAAGGGACCTACGTCGATGGGCTGGCGAAATTGGCGTCGAGACGCCTGCCGATTTTGGCGTGGCTGCCGAAATATAATTCAGAAAAATGTCTGAGCGACGTCATAGCCGGCGTCACGGTCGGTCTTACCGTTATGCCGCAGGGACTTGCGTACGCGACTCTGGCTGGCTTGGAACCTCAGGTATTCCAGTGATGAGGCGAAGTCTTTGGCGTCTCGAGACGTTAAACGGAATTGAAATAGTCTCCGTAGAGCGTTTATTAGAATAATAATTAATCAATAATCAAGTCGAGAAGAGAAAAAACTCGAAACAAAAATCAATCTAACGGACCGTGTTCCACTTTTACACAAGTGACAGCGTGTCAACGACTCAGGGAGAGCCAAAAACAGCAAAAAAACACATCTATTGACGCTTCTAAGATCTTGTCGGTTTCTAACCGGAAAAATCACTAACTCTCTCTAAATTCACAAAACACATTCCTTCTCGCTACTGCGTGCAAAATGCCAAAGTATCAGAGCGTCTTGTTTAAATTTGTTTTTACAATAAAATAAACTACTGCCACCGATGGAATACGGCCATTAGATCGATTTTTTTTTCTCATAAGAATGAATTGATTTTTTTCACACATCAGTTGTTGCTCGGTTTTGACCTTTTTTTAATTATCTGCTTTCTTATTGATAATTTTGTGCATCATATGCTCCACATCGGTTTTTTGCGTTATCGAGCAATTCAGATTAAAACGTGTTTATTCTTGAAAAAAAGACAAACGGCTGAAGAGAATTAAACCGAAAACATTGCCGTGTTTTATTATAAATTTATGCTACGTGTCTTCTCTGGAAGACATTTGATTTCATAAATTAAACCGACACCTATTTGAAAAGTTTTCAGATTCAAGGTTTTCAGTTGTTTTGCTTCTTGTACAATACTTCACAACTGATTTCATTATCTCGACAGTTTAGAACAATATTGAAACAAAATACGGGTCGCTGATACTCTATTTGCTTCCAGTACGGACTCTACTCGGCATTTATGGGAGCAATAGTTTACGTGATATTTGGTTCATGCAAAGATATCACGATTGGTCCAACCGCGCTCATGGCTCTAATGACGCACGACTACGTGCAGGGAAGAAACGCGGACTTTGCCATACTTCTCGCGTTCCTGTCCGGTTGTCTGCAGTTACTGATGGCATGTCTGCGTTTAGGTACGTGCTGCTTTGAAATCAAAATACTCTTAATTTCACCGATCAGGTCTTCGAGATCTCTTCTTTTACACGAGGAGACGTTTTTTTTTTTTTTTTTTTTAGGTGTACTTATAGACTTTATCTCGATACCGGTTACTGTGGGATTCACATCGGCAACGTCCGTTATAATCGTTGCCTCGCAACTTAAAGGCCTGCTAGGTCTGAAAATCTCGTCGCAAGGATTTTTGGACACCATGACCAAGGTGTTTCAAAATATCGGCGACACGAGTTTGTGGGACGCCGGTATGAGCTTTTCCTGCATCGCAATTCTACTGTTGTTCAGGGTAAATAAAAATGTATCATTTTTTATTATTACACAATTGTTGTGCAACATTCTGTTGACAAGTGATCATGTGCGCTTTCTCGCAGAAAATGAAAGATATCAAATTGCGCACGGTCGACAAGAATTATCAGTCAAGGAGTTATCAAGTACTCGAGAAAACTATATGGTTGGTGTCGACGGCGCGAAACGCTATTGTTGTTATGATTTGTTCCGTCATTGCTTATAAATACAACGCGTCCGAGTATGGATCCCCGTTCATATTGACGGGTCCGGTCAGATCCGGTCTTCCCTCGTTCGGTCTTCCGCCTTTCTCCACGCAAGTAAACAATCAGACCTTTACCTTCACGCAAATGTGTTCCGAATTGGGTACCTCCATAGTGTTGGTGCCGATAATAGCGGTTCTCGGCAACGTGGCCATCGCCAAGGCTTTCGTGAACGAGGGCAAAGTTGACGCCACTCAGGAACTACTGACGCTTGGTATTTGCAACGTTCTCGGATCTTGTGCGAACTCCATGCCAGTCACAGGATCGTTCAGCAGGTCGGCGGTGAATCATGCGAGCGGCGTAAAAACTCCAATGGGCGGACTCTACACCGGAATCCTGATTTTACTGGCTCTCAGCTTGCTCACGCCGTACTTCTATTTCATTCCAAAAGGTATGAAAGCGCGCGAAAGACACGCTTCGTCGCGAACACATGCTAATCTGTATAATTTGTACGCTTCTTTTTGGGTTTTTTTTTTCTTTAGCCTCATTGTCAGCCGTAATTATCTGTGCCGTAATATACATGATCGAGTACGAAGTTGTGAAATTAATGTGGAAATCGAGCAAAAAAGATCTCATACCGATGTTCGTTACCTTCTTGTTCTGTCTCGTTATTGGTGTGGAATATGGGATTCTGTTGGGAGTCGGCATAAATCTAATGTTTCTGTTATATCCCTCCGCGAGACCTACGGTTCACGTCGACAGATGCACAGTAAGTAGAAAAACCACCTTTCAAAACCGAAAGAATTCTCCTTTTTTCTCTCTTCGTCGTTCCGCAATCTTAATTGTATGTAAATTGCGGAAAAAGAATGTGAACGTGTATCCGCGCGATCGTTCCTCTCTCTGGAAATTTACGATCTCTCGTTTCTCTAAACAGTTCAGACAAAACGTTTTTTTTTTTTTGTCACAGACCGATCACGGCGCAGAGTACTTACTGGTTACTCCAGGAAATAGTTTGTACTTTCCAGCTGTTGACTTCATAAAGCAGTCAGTCGGTAACGCCGCTATAAAGCAGGGATCTAGTCAAGTACCGGTTGTCGTTGATTGTAGGTACATCTTAGGGACTGACTTCACTGCTGCTAAGGTAAAACTCGGAGACTCAAAGTTTGTTAAGCTGTAATGTATGTCGAAATTTAAATTCGAGTTTCTCGTTTAGGGTATAAAAACGTTGATCAATGAATTTAGTAGCCGTAAGCAGGGCTTGTACTTTTACAATCCAAAGTTGGAGGTTGTCACCGTGCTGAAAGGCTTCTGCGGCGATGAATTTCAATATGTCTCGACTCAAGAAGAGCTTTCTTATCTGTTATCGACAGTTCAAGGTTGAAGTAACATATTTATTATTAAGTTTTATTGTTAATGTCAGAAGACACGAATTTAAAATTGGAAGATATAATTTTTGTTTCACATCGAAAAAGAGTTTGCGCGTTTACTTTCAGACAAATCGTCGCAACAACTTGTCGAACAAACGCATGACAAGCTACACACGGCCTCAAATAATTCGGAGATGACTCACAGAAATACGCACGGTTCCTGCCACGAGCTCAGCGAGGTCACGAGCACACTTTTGCACGCCACTGTGAGTTGATCCTGTTGTTCACAATCTTCGCGTGTTACCAAAAAATCGGAGTATTGTTAAAAAAAAAAAAAAAAAAAAAAATGTGTTACATATTTAAAACCTTTATTTAACTAACGTTAAGCACATAAAACAAATAAATTAAAAGCAATGTAGAAATAAAAGTTTGTATTTCTTAACACAAAGGTCTTTGATCTTCCACCTTTTGACGCGAGGAGTAAATTAGAAGTTGATGTTCCTGTTGTTTGTGAACTTGTGCGTTAGTTTGTGTTTGTTTTCCAATCCACGACAACGTCAATTACATCGTTTTGATCGTTTTCATATTTTTTATATGTACATGTGATACATGCGGAAACTTACGTAACAGTTACAGTCTTAGTTGGCACTCGCACTACACACCACCTGCATATACAATCGTTGTTAATGAGAAAACCGTATCACATAATGTAGCGAAGGTACATGAGTCATCCGTCACCTAAGATAGATGGTTAAGAGAAAACTTTACATTCGTTGTGTATTATTCGATGTGTGCGTAAAACCAAAACTGTGATTTTCTGTATAAACATAGCGTCGGTAATACTCAACAATATTGCACTTAAAATCATTCTCCGGTTTTTAGTCGATTGTTAAAAATATATCCGGTTTTTTAGTCGATTATTAAAATATATATCCGTTTATATATACCTCAGCGCTTTTTATAAATAAATAAAAATTTATTTCTCTCTTGTTTAAACATATATGGAGATAAAATCTGTCCATAGTTTGGTTCTTCAAAAAACTTATTTATACGAACATGAATGTCGTCGCGTTGTTCAGTAAAGTCCCGACACGACGTCCGTCACCTTTCCGCGCTTTCCTATCACCGAGGACGTCGTGTTTCTTCGACCGATCGGGTTTTCCTTGATTCCCTGTTGATTTCCCGAATATTTTCCCGCGTTGAAGCGACTCTTGCCGAGACCGAACGTATCGTACGTTCGACCGGCGAAGATCCCCGACTCGCTCGGTCTGTTCGAGAAATTGTGACCGATCTTGTCCTTCTGGCGAAACGAATTGTGCCTCATGTTGGACATTATCACGGGTGTGTCGTCCGCTTCGTTCGCTTCGCCCTTATCTTTCGCGTAATTCAATTCGTTGTAATAATCCCACTCGCGAGTTCTCTGTTCCTCGTAAAATTCGTCGCTTCTCAGTTGCTTGTTGTTGACGTGATGATACAGTTCGTCGTTTCTCAAGTGTCTGCTCTTGCTTTCCCGTTTCGTCTGTTTGTCGGACGAGCAAAAATCCTCGGGTCTAACCGACGACCTCGATCTAATCAACTCGCGTTTCTCGTCGCGACATTTATCCGCCTTTGATCGACGCTTGCCGCCGTTCCACTGCTGACTTGTTTGCTGCTCTTGCGTAATAACGATGTCGACCATCGAGTCCAAACCCTCGTCAATCCTGTCGAGGGATTTCGTCAGCAGACTAGGAGACTTCGGCGCGTCGATCGATCGCGGTCGTCTCGCGACGAGCGGTTCCAGATTAAAATCCGTGATGTAAAACAGACCGCTGTCGCTTTCTCCCTTCGACGAGCACTGATCCCTTTTCGACGCGTGATGATGGGAGACGTGATGAAATGATTCCGATCGGCGCATTTTGAATTTCGTGAGATCGGCCAGCGTTTGCTCTCGCTTGTCGAGATTGTCCGAGTCCGAGTTAAGTCGTCCGTAATTCTGCAGGCTTCGGTGTTCGTCGAACGAGTTGAGACTCTCGAATTTTCTGATGCGACACTCGACTTTGCTCCCGGAACGTCTCGACTGCGGACTGGACACGTTCGACTCGAGATAATCGTGACTAGCCGAGCGACGCAGGTATTTCCTCTTCTCCACTTCGCTTCTGTACTTGGAACTGTGTCGGTGAATTCGCTGATCGACGGATCGTCCGGATGACGTCTCGAATCCCTTTGAATCGAATTGCTTGTTGTAGACGTCGGTCGTTTGTCGATTGATCACCGGTCTCGCGTCCGCGATCGTCTTCGCTTTCGATCCGCTCTCGTAGGTTCTCAACGTTTTTCTAGTTCTCGCGTCGTCGTTCTCGTCGAAGCGGCGCAGATCGTCCAGACTCTTCCTGAATTTAACGTCGATGTGACGCGAATTCATCAGTACGGTGTCACTTTTTGCCTGTTTCTGCAGCTGATCTACGTTAATACTTCTCACCTGTCCGTCGTACATCTGATGATGCTTGCCGTTGTACTTGAGTCTGGAGGCGCTCAACAGGGAATCGCTGCCGTCGTCCAGAGTTTCCTCCTCAACCTCCTCGTCGTGCGAGTTGTACGTTTCCGCGTGATCGGTGAAGTCGCAATGTCTGACGGCCATGATGGCCGACAAGCAAGGAGGCGCTCTTCTTGGCGGTTGCGGGTGCAGAATAGCCGGCACTATCGCCTCCTCCACGTCCGGTCCCTTGACCACGATCTTCACGCTGCCTTCCATCGACGACTTGGATATTCTGTGCTGTGCCTCCCCGCATGTGAGGCTCAGTTTCTTCGTGCCGTTCGAATCCGTGCTGTAATCCTGATCGTTGCCGAAGTAGGTCACCTGCTCGCCCTTCATCTGGGACGCGTTCGAGTCCGCGTGCGACCTCGGTTTCTCCGTCTGTTTGTTCCTCTTGGCTATTTGGTCGTAAATGTAACTTTCCGAGTTGTTCAACGAGATCTTGGAATTCGACTTGTACAGTTTGCTCTTGGCCGATTCTTGATCGTTGCAGACGACGATTTCTTGATCGGCGCGATTCGACTCCCGGATCTTGTCGCTGAACTCCTCCTCGGCGTCCTTCACGATGATTCTCAGCTCTTCGATGACGTCGTCTATCGTTGTTTCCTGATCGTTGTTCTGCGCGGTGTTCGACGTCGTCTTCTGATGATTGGTTCTCGCCTGTTTCGTGTCCTCGGGACTGCTGGATCTCTCCGAGGAGCTGATACCTTCGTCCTCCGCGTTCGACGACACTTTCGGACTTTTGGTAGCGCCGGTGAGTATCGTCGACGCCGACTTATCTCGCTCGTCCGAGTCGTCGCAATTCCGTTTCTCGAGTTGCATCTGCAAGAGCGACACCTTCTTGCTGAGCATTCTGCACGCTTCTTCCGCGCGCATCACCCTGCGTTGCAAAGCGTCGACGTCGACGCAGTTGTGCGTCCATTTCTGAACTTCCTTGTGCAGCAAGTCAGTCAGAGCGTCATCCTCGCGCCCATCAAACTCCCTCAGCCATTCCTGAAGAACTTGCGGCTCGAGACCAGCTTCGCAAGCTTCAGCCTACGAAAGAGGGTGAAATAAACTGATTCTTCATCAGGTGACTTTTTCATGTTTTTTTTTTTTTTTTTATCGATACACGCAATTAAAAATTTGTAAAATATGTAAAATAAATATTATTTATAAATACAAACAATATCAATTTTTTGAACATTTCCTCGGACTTTCCCTCACCTGGATGTACAATTTGGTTTGCGTGCGAGGCGCGGACTTCAGAAAAGCGTTCAAGAACGAAACCCCCGCGACTCTCAGCGCGATGGCCGCCCGGGGAGCTAGAAGAGCGCCCGCCAAAAATCGGAATCTTCCTCCCTCGCCGTACTTGAGTCTCAGGGTGGAAACCGCTTCGGATACGGCCGCGTGTCCACCTGGTGCCTGACACACTTTCGTCAACAGCTGCAACAAAAACGAATTGCGCATATCTTTTTGCAGATTGTTTTACTTCACGTAGAAGAAAAACAATTAATGGGAAACGATTACGAAACGAAAATCTCGTTGCGCAACGATACAATGACACGGTAATTCGCAATTTAATTTTTATTCTCAGTTGACAGCGACATTTTAATCGTTGCTTCAAACGATTGTTCTCTTCGTCGGAGCAAACGTATATATGCACACGTGTGCTATATATAATACGTTCGCAACTTCGTTCGGGGGATCACGTGCCGTGGAAGTAATTATCTCTGCTTTGAACAGAGACTACCGCTGTGCCGATCGCGCCGCGCGATATCCGCTCGCAAAGTACACTTCCTTCCAGAGAAGAAACTGGAAAGCAAAGAAAGAAAAAAAAATATCCCGCGCGCGCGTAAGTTCGCAAATGAAGTCAACGCGCTCGGTCGAACACAAACGTTCGGTGAGATAAAACGAAACGAAAAAAAAAAAAAAACTGGTTTTGTCGGCAAGAAACCTTCCAAATAACGGTCCAGCGTATACGTTGGTTTTTTACGAAACCGTCGTGTCTTTACGAGGTAGCTCTCCACGTGCTCCTGCCGCGGTCGTTCGGAGACGTAATCGAACACAACCGGGGAGCGTTTCGATTTATTGGACGAGGCGAGTGACCCACTGCCGCGACTTTATCTCGTGAGAGCTGTTACTGTTTTTTTTTCCCTTCTCCAATAACTGTCCGCGTCTTATTTCACAGTTTAATCTCGTCGGACTTCGGAACCCGAATTTTAATCGCGGACGGTGAATTCATCTCTGTTGAATTAAAACATAAGATGTTTTGTTCGTTACGGCTCGAATAAACTGCGCGATCGATGGTTATAAAAATAATCCAAATTTTTTTCGAGATAAATAAATTATATATTACGTTACGATAAACAAAGTCAGGGAATATATATTGAGAGTAAAAACTAATTTCTATTTCAATTAGTAGCTAAACGTGACTCTGAAAGTGAACAGCTTGGGAAGATTAGCGCGTAAGTGTAACACAACGAACTGAATTTACATACGGCGAACTGAGCAGTTCGGAAAGAGATGCCTATCTGCGACGATGCGTTGTGGAAACGAAAAGAAGAAGAAGTCGCTCGCGCGCGACGACGACGGTTCTGGTGTAATCGATTCTTCTGATCTAACGGTATCTCGCGCGAACCGACGGAAGTGACGATTGTTACCTGAAGAGCCAGAACCCGAGACCGGTTCAGACTACTGGTCAGACAAACAGCCAGAGCCAGGAGACCGGGTTGCGCTTGCACCAACAGTCGCGGCGCATCGGCGCATCGTTCGCCGCACGCGGCCAGACACTCAACGCATCCCAATTCGTCCAGAGCGGCTCTTCTGGTGCCGACCCTCGGCCCGGTCTGTCCCGACGTCGGCGGCGAGCTCTGTGCCAATTGTACGCCGCGCAGAGTCTCCAGCAGCAACGTGATTCCGTCCGCAGGCGGCGACGCGAATTCCTGCACGAAGCTGCGAAGGAAATCGTGCACGTTATAAACTACGCTAAAGTAAAGTGGATGTAATTCTGATTTTTTTTTCTCTGAAAAAATAGCAAATGTTTTGTTTTAAACAAATGGCGAACTACTCGTCATCTCGCGCGTTACGTTTTGATTCAAGAATCGTATCAAAAAATTTAGTTTTGTAATAAAGTAATCACACACACTGAGATCCTGCGTTCGAGTTTTTATATCGGTCGATTTTAATGTGGTATTTTGTACAATTTCAATATTTCTTTCGATATCTCTCTCATAGTTTTTTTTTTTTTTTTTTTCTAATGGGAAAATTAAACGATTCAAATCTCGAACGCTTTTAATCCAAACTTCGAGTAACGATCGTTACGCCAATGGACGTCGGGGGGGTAAGTAACATTCTCACTCCCCGCATAAAAATCGTCGCGTAAACGTTCAAGATATTGAAATATAAAGAAAAAAGGACGATAATTACATAATTACGGGGGATTCTCGCCCAGGCAAGAAGAAGACCGGAGAGAGCCGGTTTGTGCGCGTGCAGCTCAGGCAAGTTTCTTTTCAAGAGATTGTCACCACACGCGGGAGCGCGCGACTTCGCGATTGGACGAAGGGGAGGAATCGATCATCATCGATACGGAATATATTAACAAAGACGTTGCAGCAAGACCTGTCCGGGAGCGCGACACGCGTACACACCACACGAGTACCCTAACATTTACCGGAAAATGCGAATCTGCATTCAAACTACCGGATAAATAAGATTTCTCCTCCTACAGGTTCGCGAATAGATTTACGTGTATGCCTTGCACGTTCAAACTCAACAAGATGAATCTTAGCAAATATCTAATACACTCGAGTGGTAAACAACTTTCATTTCAATATAAATAATTCAGAAAAAAATATGTTTAAGATGATTAGTTTAACCATTTAATTTGTTGACGAATGAATTAACAACAAAAAATATTTTGTTATTTACAAAACCGACAATGTGGCAGCCGTGTACGGCTGAAATATAATACTTGAATAATCCAGAAATCAATCAAAGACGCGGTTCTCGCGCGATCCTCGATATATTGATTATTCCGTACAGAGTGCAAGTCAAACCTCATATGTGTTTTAATATTCGTTCAATCGATATATATATATATATATATATATCGAGTATTTCTTTTATTACCAGGTTTCTTCAATCGGCAACACGAGAGTGTTGCGAAGCGGTTTCCCTTTACAACTGTTCGCGCAACGCCTTAAGGTAAACAGGTGCAAGGACGAGGAAAGTGCACAAGAAGGTAACATGCTACACCTGTCACGCAGTGACGAGTCCATAGTCGCGATTTTTTTCGCTAATTTTCTGGAAACGCTTCGAGCCATCATCGTTGACGAACTCTCTTCGTCTTTTTCTAATCGACGTGTGTGTGCGTGTGTTTGTCGGTTCAGTTTCCTTAATCGCAATGGCATACGGGAAGTAGCCTCGCGTAGCCTTTGCGGGAATTTATGTGCGTACCAAAGTTCAACACCGTGAGAATCGCCGGCACAATTAACGTTTTTTGTCGTTTTCGCGGAGAGAGAGAAAGAGAGAGAGACCGCGTGAATTCTTTTCCTATTTCAAAGAACAAACTGTGCTCTTTGCATTCTTGGGGAGAAGAATGCGCGTGTTATTCCGCCAGTTATCACGTCGACGCTTATTGTGCCTCTCGAAAAGAAAACCTCACGCGACGTCTCGTTGATGAAAAGCGCGAGGTTTCAAGACAGACACACTCTGTCGAGACGATCCGATTGCGAAGTGTTTCGCGCGTTTTCTTTCTACGCTGTCCCGAATTCGTCACAAGCGTCGCCTCGCGTTGTCAAAAACGTTGTCCGAGGAATGATCATCTCGTCGTTTACAGCGTCCAGAAACGTTGCGCAATGTTTCAAACATACGCGCGACAGACGAGAGAGAATGAAAATAAAACGACACACGTAAGTCGCGTGAGTCAACGACCGATTGACATTTCTCCGTTAACGAGTTCATAGAAAATATCGCCAGTGAGCCAACGTTGCATTTTACAATATTTTGTAACATCCTCCCGCATTGTTTTGTGATGTAAAAGGATGGTTCGTTGATTGAACTTTCGTGTAACATGAATTTTGTTCACTTGCCCTTTCAACGATTATTTAAATTCGCTCGACGCGCACTCTCGCGCGCGAAAACAATTCTGAGAACCGGTAGCTTCGGTTGGCCTCATCTCGCAAAACGATTCTCGATTATCGAAAGCTCGCTCACAAACTGCCGCGATCCCATCATAAAACCCGGCGCGTTTAACCAGGTTCGGGTCTGTTAATCAAGAGGGAAAAGGGAATGGGATGGTACTTTAAGGTTTTTTCTTCAGAATTTTTTATGGAAATAAATGATGAAGAAATGTGTAAACTTTTATTTCGCGATCAAGAAAAATTTTATAATAAATATTTTTATAAATTGTTTTAAAAATATTTTCTACATTTTTTTCTCACACACAAATTTCTTGATCATATTTACAAAATATTTATTATACAATTCTTGAATAAATATTTTATTATATGAACAAGGTTATTTTCAGGTTTCAACAACTCTTGTCATTTTTCAAACATGTCCCAAATCTTCTTAAAGAGGAATCGAATGTATTAACGAAGCATTGTGTCGGAAAGATTCGGGGGAAGGGCAGGTTAGGTTGAATTGTTGCAACATTCGTGACATCCGCGCATTATGACGCGTAACTTTTTTTTTTTCGAAAAAAAAAACGTCGCTCTGAGAAAGGAGGATGAACGGCGTATGAACGGCGCGTATGTAAAAGCGACGTGAATCGGTTACGTGGAATATGCAAATGAGTATTAAACGCCTCCTATATGCGCCACGGTCGACGTCTCTCGCGTTTAGCGACAAAGGAGGAGAGGATAAAGAAGAGAAAGAGAGAGAGAGAAAGAGAGAGAGAGAGAAGAAGGCAGCGGGTTCCCCTTCGCTCCTAACAATGGATGCATTATGTTACCCCGACGGTATTATGCATAATGCGCGAGGGTATATCGCGATACGCCGCGCGGTATACGTGCACGAAATACGAAGGATCCGCCTTTGTTAGCCGCGTCGTAAAAAAATGCTCCGCGACCGCATTTGGAGATGCGGAGAAAACGAAAGCTTCGAGGACGACGAGAGCGACAGTAAAAGAGAGAAAAATGGACGCGTCACCGCCATTGTTGTGACATCAAACCGCGCCGTGCGGCAAGCGTATTTTTTTTTTTTTTTTTTTTTTTAATGCAAATTTGTTAGAGCACATTTCAAGCTCGTGAGTTTTTCAATTTTCGAATCGAAAACAGTTCGATTATGTCCAAGTGTGTTGCAAAATTACTCACAAGTATATTAAAAAATAAATTAACATTAAAAAATATCCGACAGACAGATCGAAACGTCTCTTATTTGTTATGGTTTTTCTTTTTTCCACGTTGGAGAAGAGACCGTGCCGCGATTTTACGACACGACGCTTTCAGCGAAAACGACGTTGGATTGATATCGTAACAATGTTTGTGATAACCGGACAATTATATTCTAAAAAGAAAAAAACAAAAAACTAAGTACATCAAGAAGAGAAAAGTTCGCGAGATAAGTGTCCGATATCGTCGGACGCGTTATGTAGCGCGTGAATATTGATCGAGCGTAAAATATTCGCGATAACGCGCCTCGATCGTAAGTGGATAAATCCAATATATTTTACGACATAAATGTATGATAATGCATGTATATAGATCACTCATGCACGCACAGTGTGTGTCTCTTGGAACGCGTTCGCGCGTGTTTAAATGGTTTCTCTTCCGGCGTTCTCTGCCGACGACGACGCGTTGCGTTTTAAGTAAACGATATAGAGAGACGATTAGATAAAGCGCGTCTATTCGAGACGACAGTCTCGCTCCCAAGGACAATGAAGAAACGGGATGCAGAAGAAGTACATTGTAAAACCCGTTGCGAAGCCCATCAGTGAACCTTCCTCCCCGGGAGGAGAAGGAGGAGGATGTGCGCAAGAAAGAGCGGACAATGGCAAACGCGCCGCATCGACAGGCGCCGCGCGTTAAAAGGGCGTTATCTGATATCGCGTGAAAAAGGAGGCTTCCTCGTTTTTCACTCGCGTGTAAGTAGGAAGCGGTTATGCATTCGCTATTACGCCAGGCGGAAGCACCTGTGGGCTATGAGTGCGCACGACTCGCGAGTTCGGTGCCCGGTCGAGGCTTCCCTTTCGAGCCGTCTTGTGTGCGCCTCGTGCGCACGGGAGAAAAAAAGGGAGGGAATAAAGAAAAATTAGCAAAATATAAATATCGCGCACGGGGCTGTCTTAGAATTCAACCGCGAGAGAAACAAAAAGAAGTCGACAGCAGCCGCGAAATATAATTTTTAAGGGGTAAGTTAAAACAATGTCCGGACATTGAAGAAATAAGATTGAAGAAGAAATAAGAAGAAATAAGAAGATTATTAGATACGTGAATATTAATCACAACAATTAATTCGAATTGAATTCAATTCGAAAATCCATATCTGCTCGGTTTGCAGCCCAGTGGAAACAACCTTCTTTACCATCTCTTATAAATTAAAAAAAAAAAATTTTAAAACTACCTCTGGAATCGGATTTTCTCGCATTTCGTGCGAGAAAACGCCTAAAAAATGAGCAAATTTTACGCCTGGTACGATGTTTTCAACCGATTTCAACGTTTTAAATAACTGACCGACGGAAAATCGCTACGTAGACTTGAGAATTACACATCCTCTCTCGTTCGTAACAATTCATTTTGCACGATCCGTGCGTGCAGACCGCGAATCCATGAAAATACGATTAAGCGATCTAATGGGGATTCAAGTAAATAATAACACACCTGTCGTTTCAGATGTTTTGTGGAGGATGCGAGATCGGCCCGATCGATTTGCGGCGGCGGCGGCAATGCGCCACTCTATACAGTTAGCCGTAATATCGGCATTCGGTTATCCGCTACTTGCGGGTTATCCGCCAACATCTTGAAGTGCGCAAGCCTATTATAACTCATTTATCTAGGACATTCTCGTCCGCCACATGACGCGCGCGGACGCAACGCATCGAGGATATGAAGCCATCAACGTTTGTTCTCTCAAAACGCGGGAGAGGACATTTAATATTAAGCACATCGCGTCTTTAATCACATCTGCCACAGTCTAACGGAGATCTCCGTCGTCTCTTTCTTCCTCCGTTTCCTTTTATTCTCGAGTCGAATATACGGTCGTTCATCAGTTTGAAGGCACATCATCGTTTCCAGGAGAACTCTGGAGTTACGATCAAGTTTCGAAACATATTTGCCACTTTGCTGAAGAAAATCGTCTTCTTTTGTTCTATTATCCTCGAGGTTTTTTTTTTTTTAACTTTTCAGCAAACGTCCCAATGACGCGTGCCGATGACAGTTATTACAGAAATAATTTTTAAATGTGAAAATATTAAATAACATTCACACGACATTGTTTTAAATAACTTTCAAATCTTTAGATCCCAATTTTATTTCTCTATAAGTGTCGTTGGAGAACATTTACTTTAACTTTTTTTGTAAAATAAATTACTTATGCGAGAGAAATTGCGCGCGCACACAGCGAAAAATAAAAATAATAAAATAGCGAGTGGTAAAAACTGAACAGTGTGAGCGAGTCCGATTTAATGTATATTCAGCTTCGATCCAAGAGTCAAAGTGTATATTTTTAATAAAGGATTATTCCAATGTAGAACCATTTGCGTCGGCTCTCTACAACTTTTCTTCAATTCAACTACGTGACAGAACATCCACTTCGAAAGCTGTTCTCTTCTGATCGCGCGGAAAGTTTGTCCGACCGATCAGCGTCGACGAGGATTAAGAGAGATTAAAGACAGAAGAAGAATTTTAACGAGCATACCAAATCGTCTTGCACGCACACGGGAGGCACACCCCGGTGTACGCGAAACGACACATATAAAAAGTAACTGTAAACTCCCGTCGGCGTTCCCGCGTCTGTCCCTTCCGCGGGACAATAATCTCTCTCGTATGTTATTCCTTCGATGTACAACTTCAGATACACGAATTCAGGAATCCCGGAGAGATAACAAACGTGGGAACGTCGAAATTTTTATGTAATCCAAGCTCCCCAGAGGTTTGATTTATTCGCTTCTTCTACATCGGGATGGGGGGATTTTGTGTTTTTCGCGAATGCGCGGCAGATGGATATCTAAACGACTTCTTGCCATTAGTTCCATTCAGAGAACACGAACAGCCGTCGTACATTTTTAATCGTTCGCATATAATTCCACTTCGCGTTCTTCTTCCGCGTGCGTTTTTCTTTCTCTCTCTCTCTCTCTCTCTCTCTCTCTCTCTCTCTCTCTCTCTTTCTCTCCTTCTGTTTTGCACATATCAACGGAAATACACTCTACTCTTTGAGAATGGAACTGGCCACAATGCGAATGGTAATCACTTCCTACGAAGTTTATTTCTCTGTTTTTTATTTTACAATTAAACTGCGTATTATTTTTCTTGTATATTATTTTACAGTTGGCAGCGCATACATCGTAAGAGAAAGCAAGTTTGTTCGTGTGATAAATATGTTTTTTTTAGATATCTAGCGTGTGCGTTTAAATGTTCTTTTTGTGTATCGGTACGTTGTTTCATCAAATTGATTATCTGACGAATAATTTAATTAGTAGAGTAGTAGTAGTTGATCGTTCGATATAATTAATCGAAAATCGAATTCAAACTAAACTTTTTATTGCAATAATAATAACATACTGACCTGGGAAAGGCGAGCCTGAGGTCGGCTCTGAGTTTATTTAGCAGCTCGCTAACCGACGTGAACTGTCTCAAGGTCATCTCGCCACTTCCGGACGCGTAGCCGGAACTCGAACTGGTTGTCGACGGCAAGGTGCCTTGAGAGTCCTGAACGGTTCCTAATGGACGTCTTCCCCATCGTCTCAGTGCGATCGCGTAATCCTCAGCGTTGTACGTCGGCGGTCTCAAACGTTCCTGCGAATAGTCCCGTTTTATTATATGATCGCACAAATTTTCTCAAATTACACCATTTTATATTTCATACAAAAATAAACATTAATTTGCACAATTGCTGACACATTTTTTTTCGAGCGCAAATAAAACTAACGCAATTATTTTGCCTGTGCAACGAATATTTTTGTGTGTATGTACATAATCTTCCTAAAATTGTTGTAAAAACTTATCGAAACGTAGTAACGAAATAAGACATCGCGCGCGCCTCATACTTAATTCGTGTTGATTTACGTAGAATTAAACTAGCGATACTTCGTGTTTTCTCGCAGGCCGTAGTGAATCCTCGCGAGGAGCGCGCGAATTATTGCCGCGGCACAAGTATGAAATATTCACGTCGAAGGATAGAGAAGATATCTGCGGTTAATTTCACGGCGCTTCCGATCGTAAATCGATAGGATCATAGTGATTATCGCCTTTTCTCGCTGTCTATAAGCCGCGGCAGGGGCTGAAAGCTACGATACGAGGATCGTGATAAAACCATGATCGACGATTAGAGACAACCGTTTTCTTACGATTTTTGTTCCGTGAAAATAGCGAACACACAAAACACCAACGTTTTTCTGGTAATTTGTTTCATTTGGTTAAAAATTTATAGACGCGACGTTCTCGCAAGTATAATATATCTACAATTAATTTTGTATTTTATATCTTACAATAATGTAACAATGTAAAGTAATAAAATAAACAATAAAGACAATAAAATAAAACAGTATAAATGATAAAACACTAATGAGATTTCACTTGACGCTATTTTTTCAGTTTTTTTATCAAATAGTTTTTATAGGAACAGAAAATTGTTTATAGCAGTAACACTTCTATAAAAAAATTTGTTTAGAAAATAACAGATTGAGTCAAAAAAATTGTTTTTTTTTTTATAAGAACATACAAATGGCGTCTGTATCTACTTGGCGCCTTTTTTTTTAAAAAAAGATGAGTTTGTTTTCATAGAAAACGGGTGCGTGTGAAATGATTTTTCGACTTTTTGTTTCAGCGATTTTGATTCTTATCAACAAACTGTTGTATCTGGTTAATATGCGCGCTCTTATACTCCGCACGAACAAATTACGTAAAATTGATTTACTTTCGTGCTTACGGTTTGCGCGCGAATGTATAAATCATGAAGCTACTCTCGTCCCTAATCTAATTGATGCGCGTACACGCGGAAGCAGCGCGAATTATTCAAATGAGTCAATTACATTTGGAAATTGTTTCCGCGAGCGCGTGTATGTACGGTTCACTCTAACGCTTAGTTTTCAAAATGGTTAGTCGGCAAAAAGAAATGAGAACAAGAGGAAAATTTCATCCGCGTTCGGTTTCCCAGAGCTCGCGCGCGCGCGTTTCTTCCGATATTACATTACCGGCGTGTGCGAACCGCAAATGGCGATCGTATAGCGCGATGTCATCCCGTGTTTCGAGAAACATCATCTCGAATAACGCGCGCGACCGCAGTAGGCAAAAACATCATCGCAATGCGAACGAGGAAAAAGCAGTGAGAAATTCAAATACGAGGTCATTTCTTCAGTTTCCTCTCAGTTCGCGCATCTTCGCATTCCGTTCGCGAAGAAAAAGCAACACACGCGCCCCCGCTAAAACCCGACATTTATCGAAAGTGTTGATAACGTTGATTTGTTTCCATTCTTCCGCAATTTAAGTGAAATCGCTGCACTTTCCCGGCGAACGAAAAACATCGCGGTCGCACGCGATATCCCGTCACAGTCGATCTAATTTCGAGCTCATCCGCGCGCGATTTGCATTTTTCTTTTTTCTTTTTTTTTTTTTTTCTGACTAACAAATCAGACAGTTTCGATCCGGGCGCTTGTGTAAAACTTTCACGTGTGTATGTGTGGGTTTTGAAGTGAAAACGCATCGGGGCGTAAAACGAAGCGATGCGTCGGATTGATATGTGTGCGATATAAACGATATCCATACTCGTAAATAATTACAAAGACCTTGTACGGTGACGTTTATGAAGGTGAGGATTAAATCGTTCACCGCCAATTTCGGGACACTCTCCGCTTTTTAACGAGCAAAAAAGAAAAATCAAAAAACGCGCACCTTATTTATCGCACGCGTGACAAAAAAGTTTGTACAAAAAAATCGGGACGAAAGGCCGCGACGAAAATCGAAACCGTATAATCCCAAAATGAAATCGGATACGATCGGCTCGCGAGAGACCGCGCGGTGCGGAATTCTCGGGAGAGAGCTCGCGGAACAAGGACTCGCGGCCGGTTTCTTTGTGTTTACTCAAAGCGCTGAAGGATATGCTAATCGAAAACATCCTGCCGTGGAACGGTCGTTTAACACACAACTCCGTGAGTTACATCACGAAGCTTTTTGCGGCCGTTTACACGCCGCGACGGATTTACACGCACGCGACACGGTCCTTGTTCCGTGGCACAGGCATTGTTTGTTACGGTCGCGACACCGTAATTTTGCTTAACGTCGTTTTCCACTCTACCTTTTCCGGTTGCGGTCCCCATGGTTTCACAACCAGCAGCTCCTCCTCCGCGTTCGGTGCCATGTCCGACTCGCTGAAAAGAAAATCACAAACAGACCGTTATAACGGAGAGAAAGAGCGAGAGAGAAATACAAGAGTGTATAATCGAGTGTTTTTTTCAATTTCGATTCGGATTTCGATTTTTGTACGCAAAATTCTCGGTTTAATTGCGGCGGAGTTGCGACGCCGTCGATGGCTCCGTGCATGGCTCTGCGGAACGGAATTCGCGCATCGCGGTATTTTCGAACGGTACTCGAGTCACGCGGTGCGTTCCACCAGAACGGAGGCGATAGCGCGTGTACCGATCTTCGAGGAGCGCGCGTCATTTAACAAGCATCTGAATAAAAATTTTGAAATTCGAGATTAATAATCTTCGTCAGATACCAATACACGAGTCACCAATAGCTGTGTGGATTATTTAAAAATTATGTTAGCAAATAGTTTATAAATGTTTATAAATATGGTTGTTATTCAACTAACAATTTTTTTTATATTTAAGAAAATTTTAGATAATTAGGAAAATAAGCTCCGAACCCAAATTAAAATAAACCTGGAAGCTGCAGTCTACTACTACTGAACTAATTAATTTTTATTTCACCGATTTTGTGTCACGCGTGGCGCGTGCATCCGTTGATTGACTTGATCTCTTTTCCAAAGAAACTTACTCGTTTATGTAATCGAGATTTACGTGTAATTTTGTTCTCGGTACACTCTTCCCGATCTATTGTGTGTGCCTTGTCCAAAGTGCGCAGGTTACTTAGTTACAGGCGCATTCACCCTTTAATTCGATAAACGAGCGTGTCGGGGAATATTCATTAAATAACTCTTGATTGATGGCGAGCGATGCCTCGCGGAATGCGATTTGCCGACGTTCACGCGAGACAATGATTTCGAGGAGATTACTCGCGCCGAGAATATAATCGCAATTGTATTAACGTCGAGAGAGATCCCCACGCCCGTGGTGATTGCGTTTCACACCTGCGCCACACCTGTCCGCTATATACAAAGAAGATAATCTTATCCGCGTTTTATATACATATGTATATATAAAAGAAGCGAGACTTCTTGATGCTGGCATTTCACGGTCCGATGACGCGCGCGCGGCGCAACGAGTCCACTACGAGGACACGGACCACGGATGCTTAGTTTTGTGGGTTACCCGCAATACAGTATAATAATGGGAGTCACGATCGCGCGCGGGTCACGGTCACGGATCGGACGTACGGATATATATATATATATATATATATATACATATATATATATATATATATATATATATATCCGCGCAATCGATAGCAAGCCAAGCGGATCAGAAATGCATCGTAATGACGGACACGTCGTGACCCACGAATCCATCGTAAATCGCCTTCCCGTCTCTCGTAATACCCGCAATTCAATTTTGAATACATGTTTCTGCTCCGCAACGCCCGGCCTAATGTATTTCGCGTGATAAATAAATTTTAAAAAACAATAAAATAAATTTCCAGAACAGCAAAAGATGTCACCCAGATGTCTCTCAATCGAAAGATAAAGATCAGTAGATGACGATCCGTCGAGATTACACAAATAAGTGTACGGATTCGGCAAATTTGAACCAAAACCAGAGAATGCAACGCAAACAATATATTAAATTTGAATTTTATAATATAAATTCTAATGTGTATCAATAATCAAAGAGAGAAGAATTCCTCAGTTGATGATGTAATTCTTAAATCAACAATCGCTTCGTGACCAATTATTAGATGCAAAATCTTTCACTGTTTTTTTTTTTTTTTTTTTAATAAACTACACAACTTAATGCAAAATGTCCATATGTTTGAAGGCAAAGTGCGCAAATATATTTAATTGTGAACTAGTTTTGTTGCAACTGCCGACGCACATTGAAACCGTAAGCAAATTAAAATTGTGCGGAGAGCTCGCAAAAGTCAATGTCAATTTCGCGGAGGTCATATCGCGAGATTGCTCCACTCTCGGACGTGCGTGGACTTCCTTCGCGGAAGCGGCGCGAATGCGTTGCGTGCGAATGTGTGTTGTGCGAACACACTTGAAAGCACCCCGTGCTTGTACACAACTCCGTAGGAAAAGGAGTAGTCGCCATAAGTACATACGTACCTACTGCTCGCGTCGGAGACAGCCGAGGCATTGACCCGCGCGCGAGCGATGGTCACACACATACGCACCCGATGTATGCGCGCATCTCCGCACCGACACGGGCAGAACGCGCGGAGCTTTAATAGCGTTAAACGGCCCACGTTCCTTCCCCTCCCCTCATGTGTTTCTTCTCGTGGCTACCGTGTGTCTTCAATCAATTCTCTACACAGATTTCCGTAATTTTCAGGAAACGAAAATCTCGCTCAATTCTCGAACCTTTGGGTCTCTTTTGTCACTTCAAAACTCCAAAGATCATAAAAAAATAAATTACATAAAAGTTTTAAATAAGCAACAAGTTAGCGACAATTGAAAGATGAATTTTTGCTGAATTTTTGGAATATTTCAAAATCGTAGAAAAGATTTACCTTCAGAATGTCAGGAGAAACGATTCGGTATATAGAATCGATTATCGTCAAGTTCGTCGACAGAACAATGCAAATAAAATTGTTCTCTTTGTTGAACGCGTCGCGTTTGCACAACACGTGTGTTTTCTACACGTTTCTCGGAAGAAATTCTAAACCACCCGCCGATATGTGGTCACTAGATAGCTCTTAACTAACCAGAGATAATGGAACTCGATGTTCAGCTTCGACGCACGCGACGCACACGTGCGGGCATGCGGTGAAGCACGTACGTACGTACGTACATGAGAAACGTGCGCATCTCGAATTGAGCGTTGCGTTAATTTTCTGAGAGAAACGCGCGTGTGCGTGTCGCGAGGTCGCGGAAATAATCTTTTGACGAAAAAACATCTCTTCAAGAATACTCTCTTCACCATCGAGATACAGAGGAGGGGGAAAACTAATCTATTGTCTGGTAAATTAATAGGTACGGCGCGTAACACGAGATGCCGCGACTCGTTAAAGCGATTATTTCCGAACCGTTGCGTAACGAAATCCAGCCAGCGGCTGGATCCAACATCCCCGACCGGTGGTCTTGCGGCTTGATAAGATTTACCGACCAATAAAATTCAGTCCTTCCGTCAGGAGGAAGATTCTCGATTTGTCAAAAATTCGACGCGTTTCCACGGAGTTCGAAGGGTCGCGCATTTTAACGATGCAATCGACAAAGAGCGATAGATTGAAGGGGAGGGGAGGCACCGTGTGTTCCGCGGTTCTTCTAAGACTTAAAAGTTCGAAGTCGTGCACCCGCGCTCGTAACCGCCGGGTTGAAAGATACAGTTGAATACGAGAGAGAAAGAGAGAGAGGAAGGGGTCATCGCGAGGGCGATTGCAAGGGGAGGAAGGAAGACACTGCAAGCATCGCTAGATGCTCGGTAATGCTTTTCCGTCCGAGCGGGTTCCCGCCGCATCAGATATGAGCGTCCCGAGAGGAACGGGCGGGGAAGAGGCGCCACGATTCTCGGGACCTCCTTGCCGGGATCGTCGATCTTGACGACCATTAGCGGGAATACACGTGAGTCCGGCGAGATGTTTTTTTTTTGTTTTTTCCGTTATGACTGTTCCGGGAGCTATGCAACGGAATGGAATGTTAACCGGCGCGATGCCCGGAAATGCAGTTGATATCTTTCTCTCTTTCTCTCTTTCTCTCTCTCTCCCCCCGTACCTGATTTCTTCGGCGATCGCGAAAGAAATATCCTCGTGTATTTCCCCCCGCGGCGAGCAAAAACGAGCCGGATGCTGCGGCGCATTCGCGCGATAAGCATTCGTGCGATAAGTACTGCTGGATTTCGCGTGATATTGTCTTGTTCGCTTACAACGCGAACCTATCTCGGCCTTTAGCGAAACTTGAAAAGTTTTTTGTAACAAAACTGATATTCAATATAAATGCTGCAGAGTTGAAAATAAAAAAAAACAAATAATAGAAGATCAAACGGAGTCAACGAAGACAATAAAATAAAATCGATTCATTGTGCATTTAAATAATTTTTTTCCTCTTGTCCGATCGGGCTGAGCTTCGTTCACAGATTATTGTTTTAGTAATTAGAACTATTCTAAAGGATGCCGCGAAAAAAATTCAAAAGTCGAAAGTATAAGAGCCATCCTAATATTCGACGAGCAATGCGACGCGACGAAGTTATCTCGAGACGCGCGTGATAACAATTACGATGTTATCCGCGCGGCATCGAAAATAATGACACAGACTGTTACCCTAATGCTGTACCATCAAGAGATTTCTAATAATCTCGCGTTCTAACCCGATGAATGATGAATTGCCCGGAGTCATTTAAGTTGTATATTAAGTTGTGCGCGGCGAACGATCGAGAAATAGCCGCTGTTCTCTCCGCTCTGACGCATCGCGCAAATTGTAATCCCGATATCGATCGCGATCTACATTACGTTTATTAGATAATCAATACGCGGGTTATAAGTTTCTCAATTTCGGAAATCACGCCACGTTTCCCCGCAAATTAACGAACGGCTGTCCCGCGGGCACGGATTCTCTCTCTCCCAAAGCGAAATTAACTTCCAATCGAGTGGAAATTGTTTCCGAAATTAGAAAATTATAAAAAAAAAAAAAAACAACAAAAAAACAAAAAGAAGAAAAACTCGAATCGAAGCGATCTGATTTTGTTTACGCACGAATAAATTCACACGCAACCGTTAACCGTCAGCTCTTGTCAACTGAATCTCGTGATATTTCACTTGACGCATCATTTAAAGCGCGTACCGACGCGCGACGCAAGCATGTCTCTTAACGGGAATATAAATCTAAAACACTTTTGTTCGTCACGCGTCATAAAGCACATGCATGAAAAAAAACAAAAAAAAAACAAAAACAAAAAAACAAAAAAAAAAAAGCTCCGATGACCTCGATCCAAACCAAAGAAGAAGATTCAGGACGCAACCAGGATCTCGAACGGGAAAGCTAGTGGACTATATATGTTAATAACAGCGTTCGTTCCCTCGGGTGAGTTGT